TCTATATCTGTAACGAAGACTACATTTTTACAAAATCAGGAACAATAAAATTGAAAAGAGAGCTGTTTGACTTAAAATCGAAGTATTTACCACTATCCGCTGCATGTAACCGTGCACTTCCCGAGCGATACATCGCGTTCTCTCCATCAAATGGCTTAGTTATGTTTGCCATAAAAGATGATATACCTTACGTCATCGCGCAGTCTCAAATTATACCACAGATACCAACCTGTTACGATTTCTACGACGGAATCCTTGCTTTCGGCACTCCAACCGGAAAGATAATTTTCGCAGACGTTTCAGAAGGGAAATACACACAGAACTACCTTGCATCCAGCACATCCATTGAAAAGATCAAGTTCCTTACCAAAGATGTCCTTCTGTGGTACTCAAAAACCGAGTGTGGATCAATAAATCTTCCCAAGCGCCAAGTTATTCCAATCCACACTCGCCTTGGCCCTGCCACAGACCTAATATGTTCAGAGGAGCTCGGCGTTTTCGTCCACGGCAAATACGACCTTGGTATTTTTTATGATGTCAAACAAAAGCCGATGACTCTTCACATCCATCACCGCTGTTGCAGTCCAAGTATCCAGAATACCAGCAACATGTTTCCAAGGCGATACTCCCAATTTCGCCGTATTATTATCTACCGGAGAAATCCAAGTCTACACATACAAGAACGGCATAGCACAGATGCCTGTTCTGAGGCTGCGTAACTCACGGGAGAACTCCAGGACAACTTGTCTTGCTTGGAAAGGCGATTGCATCATAACTGCTGACACAGACGGCGTAATTATGTTTTACGACTTTGCTTTCGGTACATCGAAGCAAACATACTCTCCTTTCATCGACATAGACAGGATAGAGTTCGAGAGATCATCCAGCGGATTGTACGTACACGCGAGAGAAAAATTTGGTTTTTCACTTGAAAAAGTGGAAAGTTGTCCTTTTTCTGTTTCCTCATTCGCTGTAACAGGAAATGGACTCGTCCTCGTCTCCCCGCTCAATGACGAAGCCGTGAAATTCGTTATTGCAAGAGACTGGAGATCTGTAAAAAGAATCACTTCACCTGCCCTCTTAAAACCGCTAAAAACCGCCCAGCAACGGTTAGAGCTTATGGGTGAGCAATTATTAACGAATCCTACTACAGGAACATGGTCAGAAGCACTTCAAATAGCTGAGATAGCTAATGACCATGGATTTCCAACTGATTCCATTATTTGGAAGTGTGTTTCACGTAGTTTGGGAGGTCCGAGGTTGCAAGCACGCACATTCCATGTTTGGAGGGAAAGAAGAAGTTGTTTCCGCGTTGAGGATTCAATCTTCTCTGTTTTCTCCTGCAGATACTCCGATTTCTGCCATTTTCAACTTGTTGTTCAAGTTCAGAATGGGTGATAGAAGAGGAGCTGTCGAAGTTTTCAAGAGTCTCTCCAACAAAAGCGAGTTCACAATAGTGGCAAGCATTTGTTCGGCGTTGCTTCTCGGTTACGAAGATAAAATTTTGCCACAAAACGTGACAGAATTTTTGATAACAACCGCTGTTCCACTTTTTGCACAGCACAGATTTATAGAAGGCTGTATATTGATGCATTTAGCTGGCGCTAATCTTTCTGCCGCAAGATATCTTCAGGACAACGGAAGATGGGAAGATTCTGTCGAAGTCTGCAAATTGGAAGAGTTTTCGAATGAGTCGAAGAGTTTGTTGAGAAGAGCCGCCCACCACTTCTTGGATACTGGAAATGCAATGAACGCTTTGTTGCTGTTCATATCAATAAGAGATTTCCATCCTGCTTTGGCAATTTTGATGCAGATAAAATACAAAGCTCTCGCGTTTCATTTGATGATGTTCTTGGATAGGGCTGATGTAATTAAGCCGTACGACGAAGACACTTCGAGATACGCAACACAGTTTGCGGATTTGGATACTTTGAGACAGGATATAATTGTCAAATATGACAAAATAATTAAGAAATAATTTTATTTGTATATTTATTTTCTTTATTTATAAAAAAAAGTCGAAAAAAAATGAAATTGTTTATATCGCATTTTCAATGATCTTTCAAGCCAGTTGTCAGATAGAAAAAAATTACGCATTTAACAAAGTTAAAGGGGAAAAGCATCCTGAAATTACGAAACATTTTAAAAAAAATAAAAAAAAATAAAGTGGGAAAGTCTGGAAATGATATGCTATGTATTGTAATTTTCAAAACTCAGCTTTCTAATGGAGCTATCACTTGTTACGTAAACTATATATATCGAATCAAAAGTTTGCCATGTTGTAATTTGATTTACAAGACATGATTTAATTAAAAAATAAAGGGTTTAAAATATAAAATAAAATATTTATCAAAGAAAAAAAGTTAAACTAAAAAATATATCAAAATAAATATTATATTAATATAAAGAGGTAGCAGTTTGACCAGCTGGATCTGTGATAGAAACTGTAATTTTAACCGTTGAGTCTTCAGAAATCTTTGAAGGAGCTGCAATTTGGAAAATTGTTTTCACTTTAGGAGAATATAATTTTCTCTTAAAATATACAAAAATAGTAATATCAATACATGTGTATAATATATAGGGTGTCCAAAGGTGCGTTTAGCACAGCGCTCTATATGAGACTATTAAAGGAGATATATGCTGATTATAAATATATAATAAAAAATATGAATATATGTATATGATGAGTATGTTGTATTTTGGCGCCATGCCGGGATATAAAATGAATTTTGAGACAAGAGGCGGTTTCGCGGGAAATTTTGGCGGGATTTTTTTCATTTTTTTAATGAATCATAAAGAAAACATCCTCGCTCTTGCAAAAAATGCAAAGACTGTAAAAAAATCTACGAGACATTGGTAAAATGCTTCGGTATGGATGCTCCTAGCTATTCCACTGTAACGTATCATGTTAGGATGTATCACTTCATGAACAAAAAGGCGCCCATCATAAAAATTGACAAAAAATCGCCGGATCAAAGAAAAATCAAAGCAATTCTTCAAGCGCTAGATGAAGACCCAAGAGCATCACTTAGAAGGATAGAGGAGATGACAAAGATACCACGTACAACAGTCAGTTATTATCTGCACAATTATTTGAACTACAAACTAGCGTATACACGTTGGGTTCCGCACAACCTTAATTCAGTTCAAAAAAAATCTAGAGTCCAATCTTCGAAAGAGCTCCTCTCTATATTGGGTGCGTATCAATCCAAGAAGTTTCGCTTTTTAGTAACAGGGGACGAGTCTTGGTTTCAATATGCAACAGAAGCCAAAATCATATGGATCCCGAAGGATGAAAATGTTGTAAACGAAAACGATAAAAACGGTTTGACAGTAAAGTGACACTTTACATGGCAAAAAATAGAGCCTTACTTTTGAGATACTTGAGATTGAAACTGAATCTTATGAGGCGGTGATCTTGAATCACTACCTCATAAGGTTCAGTTTCATATAAAATTTGTTGCAATTTGTTATTCTTTTGCAATCATTTCTTATAAGATTTTACATCTTTTAGCGGAGAATGTTTGTTATCATGTATATATTATAAATATCTACACGATAACGAACATTCCTCGCTAAATTGCTGAGAAACTTTGAGGAAATGTCGAACAATTTCCTCAAAGTTTCTCAGATTTATATAGATCACTAGAGTCCCCTAGGCACTGATTCTGGTTCAGTACCTAGGAGGCTCTAGTTCTTTAACGAACTGATAAAATGTTTTTAAATTTTTGGATATTGCTACCTGTGAAGCACTGACTTCAAGTCAGTACCTCACAGGTAGCAATTACATTGAAAGATGGGAGAAACTTTGTCCGAATGTTAAACTATTCGGACAAAGTTTCTCCCATTTGTAGTGGAGATGGAAGGCTTTGAGGTATATTGTATTAATATATACCCCAAAGCCTTCCATCTCCACTTGAAAGTGTCCAAACTTTGGGTTAATAGTTTGCAATTAACCCAAAGTTTGGACACTTTCTAGAAGGAATTGGAGGGTAAGAGATATACATTCATATGGTATATCTCTTACCCTCCAATTCCTTCTTAAAATGGGAGAAACTTTGTCCGAATGTTAAACTATTCGGACAAAGTTTCTCCCATTTTAAGAAGGAATTGGAGGCTATGAGATACTGATGAAATGTCAGTAACTCATGGCTTCCAATTCCTTCCTAAAACTCATAAAAGTGGACATTACATGCATATAAAATTTGACATGTAAAGTCCACTTTTTGCGAGCGGGGATTTGACTCCGTCAAATCCCCTTTTTCGTTTACGAGAAAAATCCGCAAACATTCCCGAAGAAAAAAATTGACACACCAATGATGATGTTGTCGGTTTTTTGGGGCGTAAATGACATCATCGCAATTGATATTCTTCAAAAACCTAATACGATGAATGCTCAGTATCTAATTGACAATGTTCTTACTCAAATTATCAATTCTGATGAGTTTGAGAAATCCAAACAACAAAAACAAAAGTTTGCAATTCATTTTGATAATTCAAGAGTTCACAAAAGTCATAAGGTAATGAATTACTTGGTGGAAAACAATGTCAAAGTTGTTCCAAACCCAATTTATTCACCTGATATTGCACCCTCTGACTTTTATTTATTCGGCACGCTAAAAAAGAGAGCTGAAGGACGCGAATTCGCGAGTCCAGATGATCTTGAAAATTTTGTAAGAGAGCAATTTGAGCAATTTTCTCATGATGATTTAAAGCGTGTCTTTCAAGCCTGGATCGATCGCTGCGAACGCGTGATTGAATCCAATGGTGATTATATTTAAATAAACTTTATATATATGTAACTTGTTTATTTCTATTCGCAGTATTCAGGTTTGTGCTAAACACACCTTTGGACACCCTATACTTTAAAACCATCGTGACAAAATTCAAAAACGAAGAGTTCTTCTCTCCAAATTTTTTTCAAAATCAAAAAAATGAGATAAAAAAGTACGTTTGGAAAATTCATTTTTAGCATTTTAGGAATTTTCTCACTTTTCTTCCAAATTGACATCCTTAATTAAATTAAATTACACATTAACACCGGAGCCGGAATCATCTTGGATATCAGATGATGATTTATCTTTAGATGGTTTCCTGCAGAAAACGAAGTAGATGATGAGAATAATAAGGATAACAGCAAGAAGAACGCCAATAACAATACCAGCCTTCTGTCCACCAGTAAGTCCACTATTTTCAGGTGTTGGAGTTGGCTTGGAATCATCAGGGCTTGGTGCAACGTATTGTTGTTTCTGAAGTGAAACCTCTGTTTCAATGATATTGGATTGAGCTTGATCTTTGGATCCAGCTAACCTAATTTGAAGTTTAACTTTCCCATCTTCTTTGATATCTTCATACTTTGGAGCTGGAGTAGATATGTTTTGCCTTCGTCGGCATGTAATTTCTTAATTGCAGATGGGTTTCTACTTCAGTTACATTGTCGTCTGGGAGATCTATCCATTTCTGATCTGCATAGAATCTATATTGGAAGTTTCCTGTCTTTGCCTCAAAGTGTTGTAATGTAACTTTAACTGGAATATATTCACCGGCCTTGAATGGTCCTGTATGATTTTCAGCAACAACAGTTGGCGCAGATAAATATGGAGACTTTCCAAGAGAATATGTAACATTGCCGGTACCTAACTCGGATGTATGATTGGCGGCGAACTCAACAACAACAAGTAACTTTGTCTTATTATGATCCTCTGGAGCGTTAACTTTGAAAGTCCATTCTGTCTTGTTCGTGCTTGCTACGGCTGTTGCAGTGCTAACATTTTGTGATGTTTTGACGCTAGTGACAGAGGCGCTGGAAGCGTTGCTTTCTGTTGCAAAGAGATAATATGTCTTTGTAATTGTTAAGTTACTTTTGAGTATGATTTTGGCTGAGTATAAATTGCCTGAAATTACTTCGTTGCCATCGTTGTAAAGAACTCTATCGATAACTGGTGTGGAGAGTGTGTCAGAATATGTAACACCGGTACCTAACTCGGATGTATGATTGGCGGCGAACTCAACAACAACAAGTAACTTTGTCTTATTATGATCCTCTGGAGCGTTAAACTTGAAAGTCCATTCTACTGTTCGTATTTATATCCAGTGAAATAGAATAGAAGTTTGGAGATGTGTATAGAACTTATTACCTCGAACTGAAAATCTCTAACTTTGACAATAAGATATCCCAAGCATCTAACATCTTCCTTCCAACTTGTACAACTTTTATTTTCTTAAGTTTCTGTCTACATTCTTGTTCAGACACTATTGTTGCTCTTGGTTTGTTAAAACAACATCCCATTTTCATGACATAACATTCTGGGCAGAGTCAACATAAATGACTAAACGTTTCAAATTCTCGACTGCTTTGTTATAGTCTCGAAATGGACACATATTTCTGAATGCTTGGAAGTCATAAAAATCTGAAACATCTATTCTGTACATTTTTTATATAAAAATAAAAAAAAATATTTTTTTATTCTTGAGCTTGTTGTTCCATTTGTTCCATTTGTTGCATTTTTGTTCTTGAGCTATTTGTTGTTGAAGTGTTCTTGTAATACAATACTTTCACCAGTTGCATCTTCCAATTCGAAACTTTGCCGTCATTGACAAATACATAGGACATAAAAGTTTTACAGGAACAAAGTTTGCGTTCAACTAAGTTAAGTTTATGTTCTAAAGTGAGTTTACTAAAGCTGAAAACTCTGCATTCGAATGAACAATAGGCAAACCAGCAGAGAAAGTATTGTTATACGCATAAGTATCTTTTGGTCATAATATTCTGTCGACATTTCGAATAACACTTTAACCTAAGTTTAAACAATATAAGATTGGTGTGCTTAAGTCATGGAACAGACATTCCTTGTATGACACCTTTTCCTGTTATAGGAAACTGTGGTAGTAAAAACCAGATTAAGTTTTGTATTAACTCATATCGTTATAGTAAACTCAGTCGGACATCCAAACATAATGAAACCTGCTCTAGTTGCAGCACATGTTACACCCGTCCTTAAAGTATTAAATAAGTCAACAAAACCTGTTGGGTATATCTGAGTAAGTACTTCAAAGAGTATTTTTTACCATTCACAACAATAAAGTCTTCTGTGTCAAAAGAGCAAAAACAGGCTTTAGTCTCATTGTGTTTAAGGTTAGTTTACAATATCGTCCTTGAGACTTTGTAAGTTTGTGTTATAGAATTATATGACTCAGGTTTTTAGTCGTAATATATAAACCATTATGTCTTCTGCCATTACTTAGCAAATAAATTTTAATGAAATGTTGTGGTCGTCAAATATTTTATAACGTCTGGGAAAACTATATTTTAAGTTCAACGTTCACCTCCTTTCATAACGTATATCTTGTCAATGACATTATATGAAACACCACAGCAACTAATGTCGGGTTCTATTTCTTTGTTATATCGTCTGCCTCTGTCAAAAGTTTCAATAGTTCTTTCAAAACTTCATGAGGTGCAATGACATATGAGTTCACTTTTACAGGTTGTTCGACCAAGTTTAACATTATACTTAAAGCTTGACAAATCTTCTCCTGAGTTAAGTTTGTCTTTCAGTTGGTAGTCGTTCGAATATCTGCACAGAACTTAAGTCTCTGCTAACTTCAGGATATGTTGGTTGTTCTTTTACAGAACTATTGTTACCATCTTCGTCTTCGTATGGTTCTCCCCACTTCAACATCTCTGCTTTGACATTGACAACAACACTTTGACTGTTTGTTTGAGTTGGTGAATTTAACTTCACATCTGCCACCGCCATTAAACCTTTTGAAAACACTTACACTTCTATTTTCGGAAATGACATTTTACTTAAAAAAAAGATGACGTATTCAGATATCTCTTCGAATTGAAGCAAAACAAAGTTTTACACACAAAAATACAAATACATTGACAGAATATTCTTTACACAAACAATGGAAATGTTATAGAATAGCATTCTGCTGAACCTAAATATTTCATAAAGCAAAGAAAGTTGGTATAACTGAAATGTGAAAGTTCTTGAAGCAGACAAAAAATATAACTTCAAAACTTACAGATATTCTAAAGGAAGTTTATAACACAATATTATGTCAAAACTGGCGTACTGTCAATATTTGACGCGAGAGAAGTCAGTTCAAGAACAACTTACTGACCTGCTGCCAAATCTGCTCGATGAAGCTGTCGTTTATGCCAATCTTGAGGAGCCCCAGCATTTCATCGAACGAATTTCAAAAGAGCATCTTCCGTGAAAAGTGCTATTGGTTTTGTAAACTTCTTTGCTTTCATATTCATCTGGACCGTCTCTGTCACCATATATTGTATTTGAACTGTACCAACAGTTGAAATACCACCCATAAAGTCTTCTGAGTCAGCAAATGGAATGCCAAGCCAAAAGTTTGAACGGTCTCCATTTGTATATTAGTTTTTTGACCTCCTGTATGGGTCCATACTTTCACATATGGCATAATAGAACTTTGCATTTCAGGGTTAATGGTTGTTGTGAAGTTTTGTTAAAGTTCATAGCATCTAATGTTCAATTGTATGACCTCATCCTCAACTGTAGAATATTCTTCTCTTGATAATATTTGCCATCTATGTTTATATGATATTTAATACCAGGGTTGTAGAAACAAGAATAGCATTTATAGTTCGTCTGAAAAGAACAAACATAGTATCTGCATGTTTCATTGCAGTTGTTAGGTTAATATCTGTTCTTGCACTGGGTCAGCACTTTGGTTTCCAACTTCCTGCAAAGTCTTTGACAGATATTTGGTGTATAGGACATAAGTGGAACTGCAATATATTTGGCAGCTAAAGCATTTGAAATATCTGGGTCCAACATATAGACTGCAAGTCTGCTTTCTATCTCTTGCATTCAAATTTTTCGCATGTGAACTTAACTGGTCCCAAGCATCTCCAGCAGCATTGAAAAATAGTTTACTTCAGTGTTGAGGTTTGAGAAACCAAAGTCTAAGTCAACTTTGTCTTTGCAAAATTCGGCGAATGACTTTTATTTGTTCCCTTTACGTCTGTAAGAGTGAATGGTCTTGTGTTGGTGCAATGACTAAGTTATTTTTGCTTGGAGTAAGTTCGATAGAAATTTTTCCTGCCCAGTTTGGCAAGTATCTTAAAAACCTGAAATGAGGAAAGATGACAAAGGAACTCTAAGTTTCAGTTTTACTTTAGTGGCAGCAGTTCCATCAACCAGAAAGGTTAACATAAACTCCTGAACTTAGGGTCAAGTCTTCTTATTTTCTCAATAGTTGCATACTGGTCGTTTTTTCTCTAGCTTGTGGTTGTACTGAGTTTCTTAAAGCGAACCATTCATAGTTTGCCCATTACTGTTGAACTAAGTCAGAGTTAGAAATATCTTATATCCCATGAAAACTTCTGGAGCATATTGGTATCCGAATAGAAAATTCCATTGCAACCTTTCTTTTCAGACAACTTGGCAGAAGGTTTTATTTCAATGTCTTGTTCCACGTATAAAAGATTGTCAATAGAAATAATATGAAACCTGTCGCAAGCAATATCTACTGTTGTTGAAAACCTTCTCCAAACTCACCTACGTTTCCATAAAAACAGCAGTTGTATATTCGTAAGTTCCAGGAACTATTTCTGACCTTCTAATGCATTGTCGCATCTTATACCATTCGGAAACATTTCCATCATGCATCCAAAACTGTTGGCGTTATATTCTGAGCGGCGTACATTTCATATGGGTAAAAATATAGAATAGTTGGATTTATATGTCATAATAGAACCCACTCGGACCAAGCTTTACTTTCTTCCTGACTGAGTTTTTAACTCTTCTTTTTCCTTCATTGCCACTACTTTCACTAGATGAAGTTACTTCTTCACTACTTTCACTTTGTTCTACTCTTCTCTCTTCTTTGGTGTCGCTTTGGTAACTTGCCCTCTGCTTCAAGTTGTTGCATCTTTGCCTCATGTTCACCTAGTATGTTGTAAATTTCCCATGTCCTTTTGCCTTTGGGCTCTGGTCGCCCATCTCAGGTAACCTATATCCTAGAAAGATTTTGTCATAGTTTGTATTTGAGTCTTCGCGTATTTTTGCATGACTCTTTCCTGAGTTTCCGGTTCAAGCTCTTCAAACAGAGTCCATATGGAATAAGCTCGTTTCCAAATATATGTTTTTGTAGCCATTCTGGTTTTCTTTCCATGTTACCAATAATATCTTTTGTGAATGGGAAAGCTTTTACCCAATGTTTCAGTCTTTCGTCATTTATTTCTGTAGTTTTTTATTTTGTCAAGGAACATGTTTTTCAATACTAACATTTCATTTGGTACTGTCCATTTGAGTTTTCTTAAATATTCATCCCTTCTCGGTTCATTGTCTGCAAAGTAAGTTTTTATGACATTTTGTAAACTTTCGTTTGCAAGGTCATGTACAATAGGTTCTCTTCCTTCTCTCTCCCTAACTGTCTTTCTAAACTCTTCACCAAATATACCATCTCTATGGTTCTGTGTAGTTCTTTGAGATAAATGTTTAGAACGTCAGGTGTTATATTTCCATCAGCCATGTTCATTCATACTGGTTCAAAATATCTGCATCTTTCATATCTTTCAATGGCATTAAAGCCGCGCTGAAAATACCAGCTATATCTGGTTCACCATTCACTTCCATTGCGTCTACAACTTCTTGGAATTGTGGTTGTAAGTTTATGAACCACCTATCCGGATTAGCTTTATGACCCCATCTCATTGTATTCCATAGTCTGCAGAAACAAAAGTAGTTTGTTTCCATATTGGTTAGGTTCTGAATGAACTTTAAACAATGTTTCATTTCTATATGTTTTGTTGAAATTTAACCTTTTATTTTCACCGAGTTCAGCCAAAGATTGAACGTTATATGGTCGTAAGTAAAAAGGATTGTTGTATTTGCGTACATTATCTTTCAGTACTTCCATTCTATGCTGAATATTTTCATCTGATGTTGGAGTCTTTTGTATGTCGGCAAACATTTTTCGATATTCTTCTACTATGTCAGCCGAATTTTTTTTAGACTCTTGGAAAGATTCCATATTCACCTCATACTCTTGTTGAGGGTCAAGATTTTTCGGCTGTTCCAAATCTTCATCTAGTTCTGTGAGGTTAGTTTCCAAAGGAGGGACTTGTTCGTTTCCTTCAGGCTCTTCTAGCTGTTGTTGCTGAACTATTTCTTCCATGTCTGGTTGTATCTGAACTTCTTCCTGTTGAGTTTCTTGTACCTCATCTGCTGGCATTTCATATATTCCGAGACCGTTTTTAAAAAGTTCCCTATCTAAGTCATCCGGACTCATAAACCTTTCTTCTTTCGTTCCGTCTCTATTTTTTACGCGTTTCATGAAGAGAGTTGAATTGTCATTTAGCTCTGACACCAAATATCTCGGAGTAAATTCGTTCATGTCATTTGGATGATATGCTATTAAATCATATCCCTTAGCGAGCTTGTATTTTCCAGGTTTGAAATTATATCCCATTTGGTGCTGAACCATAAAGCTAAATAGGTTCGGGTCTGTATTTCCTTCCTTGAACTTTCTAATAGCTTCTTTATATCTGTCACTAAAGTCAAGAGTATCTGGGTAACCATATTCTTCCTTAAGCATTTTTAAGAAATCTTGGTTTCCTTGTTCTCTACTTCTTTTATGTCCTTGCTCTGTTTGTGGTTGTTGTGCTGGTTGTGGAGGTGGTTGTTGTGCAGGGTTTTGAACTGTTTGTGCTGTTGTGGAGTGGTTGTTGTGCAGGGTTTTGAACTGTTGGTTGCTGTGCTGGTTGTGGAGGTGGTTGTTGTGCTGGTTGTTGTTGTTGTTGTGTGCTGGATTTTGAACTGTTGGTTGTTGTGTTGGTTTTGGTGCATGCCTGTGTCTGTGTCCATGTGACGATGTAAATGTTTTAGGTAGTCCTGGTGCAGGTGCTTCTCTTGGAGGGTTTGGTGGTATATAAGTTCCACTAGCTAGTATATAAGTTCCACCAGCTGGTATATAAGTTCCACCAGCTGCACATATGTTCCATCTGCAGCATAATGTCCTACCTGACTTTTCGTTCTTAAGAAAGCATTTACTAGGTCTCTTTTGGTCTGTTGTAACTCTTTTCTTGACTTTCCACAACAGCTGTTCTAACGGCGTCATGGGCACTTTGAACTGCCTGTCTCGTTGCTGCATCTGTTATTTTCGTCATATTTTGTGCTACTTCTTTTAACTCTTTGTCGAAACCTTCAGACTTCAGTTTCTTCCAGATGAGAAGTCGTTCACTAGTTTCACCTTACTATGAAGAGCTTCGAAGGCGTTCTTAAAGTCAGCATTCGTTAAAGCTTCATTTGAACTGTCTTCATCCGCTTGTATTTTTGTCCTTATTGACCCTATAAGTTGGGCTGCTTTAGCGTTGGCTTGGGCGTCTAACCAGTCATTATTAGCTTTTATATATTCTGCGCTTTTCATTGCCTTTTGCATGGCTGCGTCGTTATTTTTACTTTCTTGTGCTAAGTTTTCATACTGTACGGTTTGGTTTTGCAACTGTAAAAGTTTTTCTGCCTTTACATTTGCTTCAACTTCTTTTTTATACTCATCGCTATCCATATATGTCTTCAGGGCTTTTTGTTTTATTTCTTCATCTTTCAGTACTTTATATTGAGTAGTATGGTTTTTCAAATTTATAACATCTTGTTCCATTTTTGCTACTTCTGCTGCTTTTTCTGACACTTTTTTCGCATATTCCTCTGTACTTAGTTCTTTCAGTTGTTCTTTTCTTCTTTTTCTCTACGTTTAACTCATTGAGTTTCTTTGTGTGTCTGTCATATTCTAGTTTCTTTTCGTTTTCACTTATTTGTTTCTGTATGTCTATGTTTGACTTTTTGACATCTGTTATTTGATTTTTGAGTGAACTCAAATTCATTTGACTTTGAGGGTTATAAGCTGTTCCGTCTGCAGCTCCACCATAGCCTGCCATTTTCGCTAAAAGTGCCGCTCTTAAACCTCCACTCTGTGCACCAATAACTCGGTTTAAAAGCATAGGGTTGCTTGACATTTGTTGCAACATAGTGGGGTCATTCAGCATTTGTTGTTGCAACTGTTGTTGTGGTGTCAGTTTTACTATTGGATGTTTCAATGCTCCCTTCCTCTTACGTATATTCTTACGTAGCTTACGTGGCATTTTAAGTGAAGTTAAAAAGCGGTTTTATACTAAACATCTTCGGGCTAGAGGGCGCAACGCGCCTGGAAGCCCCACTACCTTTTTTTTTTCAAGTAGATGTGATTTGATTCTGTACAACTAAATATTAATATATTTAAAACATTGTAGAATTAAAATTTTTGACGATATCAATTTATAAAAAAAATGCAAGCGAATCCTTTTAATAAAGCTAAGATACGATTTGCTTCACTTTGTCCACCTAGTAAAGTGTTCAACACAGGGAGCATGGACTGGGAAGCATGTGGGCTACTTGCATTAGCCGGTAAAGGCACAATTTATCTCTATAAAACTACTAAAAATGATATTTCTTTCTTATGATCCATTGAAATTCTAAATTCTAACATAACTTGCCTTAAATTCCACTATGAGCTACCTTATCTTGCAATTTCAGACGATTGCGGAAGAGTTTTGTTATGGGATTGTGAATCAGGTCTTACACTCGGAATCACTCGTCAAGTATCTGAAGCTCAGTATGTATCGGAGCTTCAATGGTCCCGTAAAATCGTTTTAGGCTTTGCAGAACCAAATACAATTTATAGTATCGATTTTTGGCCGTATGAAGCTGAAGATCAAGCGAAAAACTCACGAATACTTTGGAAGATAGATGTTCCTGGTACATATACAAGGATGGCTGTTAATAGTTCAGATATATTCACTGCAATTCTATATTCTAATGGTCCATCCTTTACAATTATCACGTCAAAGAATGCCAAGCAGGCTCCAACATCTCAATCTCAATCCCATACTTTAGATAAATCAGAAAAAATCGTAGAAATTCAACATCATCCCCATATTAGTAATATTTTATTAATTATGCTTGAAGGAAAAATACTTACGTTTAACATAGCGACCAAATCTGGCCGAAATCTTGTAATCGATGAATCATCCCAATCATCTTTCCATAAACTGCTTCCTTCTTTAACAAATGACAACGAAATTACAGTTTATGGTCAAGACTCGTCACTCAGTATCTATATCTGTAACGAAGACTACATTTTTACAAAATCAGGAACAATAAAATTGAAAAGAGAGCTGTTTGACTTAAAATCGAAGTATTTACCACTATCCGCTGCATGTAACCGTGCACTTCCCGAGCGATACATCGCGTTCTCTCCATCAAATGGCTTAGTTATGTTTGCCATAAAAGATGATATACCTTACGTCATCGCGCAGTCTCAAATTATACCACAGATACCAACCTGTTACGATTTCTACGACGGAATCCTTGCTTTCGGCACTCCAACCGGAAAGATAATTTTCGCAGACGTTTCAGAAGGGAAATACACACAGAACTACCTTGCATCCAGCACATCCATTGAAAAGATCAAGTTCCTTACCAAAGATGTCCTTCTGTGGTACTCAAAAACCGAGTGTGGATCAATAAATCTTCCCAAGCGCCAAGTTATTCCAATCCACACTCGCCTTGGCCCTGCCACAGACCTAATATGTTCAGAGGAGCTCGGCGTTTTCGTCCACGGCAAATACGACCTTGGTATTTTTTATGATGTCAAACAAAAGCCGATGACTCTTCAAACATCCATCACCGCTGTTGCAGTCCAAGTATCCAGAATACCAGCAACATGTTTCCAAGGCGATACTCCCAATTTCGCCGTATTATTATCTACCGGAGAAATCCAAGTCTACACATACAAGAACGGCATAGCACAGATGCCTGTTCTGAGGCTGCGTAACTCACGGGAGAACTCCAGGACAACTTGTCTTGCTTGGAAAGGCGATTGCATCATAACTGCTGACACAGACGGCGTAATTATGTTTTACGACTTTGCTTTCGGTACATCGAAGCAAACATACTCTCCTTTCATCGACATAGACAGGATAGAGTTCGAGAGATCATCCAGCGGATTGTACGTACACGCGAGAGACGGAAAATTTGGTTTTTCACTTGAAAAAGTGGAAAGTTGTCCTTTTTCTGTTTCCTCATTCGCTGTAACAGGAAATGGACTCGTCCTCGTCTCCCCGCTCAATGACGAAGCCGTGAAATTCGTTATTGCAAGAGACTGGAGATCTGTAAAAAGAATCACTTCACCTGCCCTCTTAAAACCGCTAAAAACCGCCCAGCAACGGTTAGAGCTTATGGGTGAGCAATTATTAACGAATCCTACTACAGGAACATGGTCAGAAGCACTTCAAATAGCTGAGATAGCTAATGACCATGGATTTCCAACTGATTCCATTATTTGGAAGTGTGTTTCACGTAGTTTGGGAGGTCCGAGGTTGCAAGCACGGCATTCCATGTTTGGAGGGAAAGAAGAAGTTGTTTCCGCGTTGAGGATTCAATCTTCTCTGTTTTCTCCTGCAGATACTCCGATTTCTGCCATTTTCAACTTGTTGTTCAAGTTCAGAATGGGTGATAGAAGAGGAGCTGTCGAAGTTTTCAAGAGTCTCTCCAACAAAAGCGAGTTCACAATAGTGGCAAGCATTTGTTCGGCGTTGCTTCTCGGTTACGAAGATAAAATTTTGCCACAAAACGTGACAGAATTTTTTGATAACAACCGCTGTTCCACTTTTTGCACAGCACAGATTTATAGAAGGCTGTATATTGATGCATTTAGCTGGCGCTAATCTTTCTGCCGCAAGATATCTTCAGGACAACGGAAGATGGAAGATTCTGTCGAAGTCTGCAAATTGGAAGAGTTTTCGAATGAGTCGAAGAGTTTGTTGAGAAGAGCCGCCCACCACTTCTTGGATACTGGAAATGCAATGAACGCTTTGTTGCTGTTCATATCAATAAGAGATTTCCATCCTGCTTTGGCAATTTTGATGCAGATAAAATACAAAGCTCTCGCGTTTCATTTGATGATGTTCTTGGATAGGGCTGATGTAATTAAGCCGTACGACGAAGACACTTCGAGATACGCAACACAGTTTGCGGATTTGGATACTTTGAGACAGGATATAATTGTCAAATATGACAAAATAATTAAGAAATAATTTTATTTGTATATTTATTTTCTTTATTTATAAAAAAAAGTCGAAAAAAAATGAAATTGTTTATATCGCATTTTCAATGATCTTTCAAGCCAGTTGTCAGATAGAAAAAAATTACGCATTTAACAAAGTTAAAGGGGAAAAGCATCCTGAAATTACGAAACATTTTAAAAAAAAATAAAAAAAAAATAAAGTGGGAAAGTCTGGAAATGATATGCTATGTATTGTAATTTTCAAAACTCAGCTTTCTAATGGAGCTATCACTTGTTACGTAAACTATATATATCGAATCAAAAGTTTGCCATGTTGTAATTTGATTTACAAGACATGATTTAATTAAAAAATAAAGGGTTTAAAATATAAAATAAAATATTTATCAAAGAAAAAAAGTTAAACTAAAAAATATATCAAAATAAATATTATATTAATATAAAGAGGTAGCAGTTTGACCAGCTGGATCTGTGATAGAAACTGTAATTTTAACCGTTGAGTCTTCAGAAATCTTTGAAGGAGCTGCAATTTGGAAAATTGTTTTCACTTTAGGAGAATATAATTTTCTCTTAAAATATACAAAAATAGTAATATCAATACATGTGTATAATATATAGGGTGTCCAAAGGTGCGTTTAGCACAGCGCTCTATATGAGACTATTAAAGGAGATATATGCTGATTATAAATATATATAAAAAATATGAATATATGTATATGATGAGTATGTTGTATTTTGGCGCCATGCCGGGATATAAAATGAATTTTGAGACAAGAGGCGGTTTCGCGGGAAATTTTGGCGGGATTTTTTTCATTTTTTTAATGAATCATAAAGAAAACATCCTCGCTCTTGCAAAAAATGCAAAGACTGTAAAAAAATCTACGAGACATTGGTAAAATGCTTCGGTATGGATGCTCCTAGCTATTCCACTGTAACGTATCATGTTAGGATGTATCACTTCATGAACAAAAAGGCGCCCATCATAAAAATTGACAAAAAATCGCCGGATCAAAGAAAAATCAAAGCAATTCTTCAAGCGCTAGATGAAGACCCAAGAGCATCACTTAGAAGGATAGAGGAGATGACAAAGATACCACGTACAACAGTCAGTTATTATCTGCACAATTATTTGAACTACAAACTAGCGTATACACGTTGGGTTCCGCACAACCTTAATTCAGTTCAAAAAAAATCTAGAGTCCAATCTTCGAAAGAGCTCCTCTCTATATTGGGTGCGTATCAATCCAAGAAGTTTCGCTTTTTAGTAACAGGGGACGAGTCTTGGTTTCAATATGCAACAGAAGCCAAAATCATATGGATCCCGAAGGATGAAAATGTTGTAAACGAAAACGATAAAAACGGTTTGACAGTAAAGTGACACTTTACATGGCAAAAAATAGAGCCTTACTTTTGAGATACTTGAGATTGAAACTGAATCTTATGAGGCGGTGATCTTGAATCACTACCTCATAAGGTTCAGTTTCATATAAAATTTGTTGCAATTTGTTATTCTTTTGCAATCATTTCTTATAAGATTTTACATCTTTTAGCGGAGAATGTTTGTTATCATGTATATATTATAAATATCTACACGATAACGAACATTCCTCGCTAAATTGCTGAGAAACTTTGAGGAAATGTCGAACAATTTCCTCAAAGTTTCTCAGATTTATATAGATCACTAGAGTCCCCTAGGCACTGATTCTGGTTCAGTACCTAGGAGGCTCTAGTTCTTTAACGAACTGATAAAATGTTTTTAAATTTTTGGATATTGCTACCTGTGAAGCACTGACTTCAAGTCAGTACCTCACAGGTAGCAATTACATTGAAAGATGGGAGAAACTTTGTCCGAATGTTAAACTATTCGGACAAAGTTTCTCCCATTTGTAGTGGAGATGGAAGGCTTTGAGGTATATTGTATTAATATATACCCCAAAGCCTTCCATCTCCACTTGAAAGTGTCCAAACTTTGGGTTAATAGTTTGCAATTAACCCAAAGTTTGGACACTTTCTAGAAGGAATTGGAGGGTAAGAGATATACATTCATATGGTATATCTCTTACCCTCCAATTCCTTCTTAAAATGGGAGAAACTTTGTCCGAATGTTAAACTATTCGGACAAAGTTTCTCCCATTTTAAGAAGGAATTGGAGGCTATGAGATACTGATGAAATGTCAGTAACTCATGGCTTCCAATTCCTTCCTAAAACTCATAAAAGTGGACATTACATGCATATAAAATTTGACATGTAAAGTCCACTTTTTGCGAGCGGGGATTTGACTCCGTCAAATCCCCTTTTTCGTTTACGAGAAAAATCCGCAAACATTCCCGAAGAAAAAATTGACACACCAATGATGATGTTGTCGGTTTTTTGGGGCGTAAATGACATCATCGCAATTGATATTCTTCAAAAACCTAATACGATGAATGCTCAGTATCTAATTGACAATGTTCTTACTCAAATTATCAATTCTGATGAGTTTGAGAAATCCAAACAACAAAAACAAAAGTTTGCAATTCATTTTGATAATTCAAGAGTTCACAAAAGTCATAAGGTAATGAATTACTTGGTGGAAAACAATGTCAAAGTTGTTCCAAACCCAATTTATTCACCTGATATTGCACCCTCTGACTTTTATTTATTCGGCACGCTAAAAAAGAGAGCTGAAGGACGCGAATTCGCGAGTCCAGATGATCTTGAAAATTTTGTAAGAGAGCAATTTGAGCAATTTTCTCATGATGATTTAAAGCGTGTCTTTCAAGCCTGGATCGATCGCTGCGAACGCGTGATTGAATCCAATGGTGATTATATTTAAATAAACTTTATATATATGTAACTTGTTTATTTCTATTCGCAGTATTCAGGTTTGTGCTAAACACACCTTTGGACACCCTATACTTTAAAACCATCGTGACAAAATTCAAAAACGAAGAGTTCTTCTCTCCAAATTTTTTTCAAAATCAAAAAAATGAGATAAAAAAGTACGTTTGGAAAATTCATTTTTAGCATTTTAGGAATTTTCTCACTTTTCTTCCAAATTGACATCCTTAATTAAATTAAATTACACATTAACACCGGAGCCGGAATCATCTTGGATATCAGATGATGATTTATCTTTAGATGGTTTCCTGCAGAAAACGAAGTAGATGATGAGAATAATAAGGATAACAGCAAGAAGAACGCCAATAACAATACCAGCCTTCTGTCCACCAGTAAGTCCACTATTTTCAGGTGTTGGAGTTGGCTTGGAATCATCAGGGCTTGGTGCAACGTATTGTTGTTTCTGAAGTGAAACCTCTGTTTCAATGATATTGGATTGAGCTTGATCTTTGGATCCAGCTAACCTAATTTGAAGTTTAACTTTCCCATCTTCTTTGATATCTTCATACTTTGGAGCTGGAATGTTGAGTAGATATGTTTTGCCTTCGTCGGCATGTAATTTCTTAATTGCAGATGGGGTTTCTACTTCAGTTACATTGTCGTCTGGGAGATCTATCCATTTCTGATCTGCATAGAATCTATATTGGAAGTTTCCTGTCTTTGCCTCAAAGTGTTGTAATGTAACTTTAACTGGAATATATTCACCGGCCTTGAATGGTCCTGTATGATTTTCAGCAACAACAGTTGGCGCAGATAAATATGGAGACTTTCCAAGAGAATATGTAACATTGCCGGTACCTAACTCGGATGTATGATTGGCGGCGAACTCAACAACAACAAGTAACTTTTCTTATTATGATCCTCTGGAGCGTTAACTTTGAAAGTCCATTCTGTCTTGTTCGTGCTTGCTACGGCTGTTGCAGTGCTAACATTTTGTGATGTTTTGACGCTAGTGACAGAGGCGCTGGAAGCGTTGCTTTCTGTTGCAAAGAGATAATATGTCTTTGTAATTGTTAAGTTATTTTGAGTATGATTTTGGCTGAGTATAAATTGCCTGAAATTACTTCGTTGCCATCGTTGTAAAGAACTCTATCGATAACTGGTGTGGAGAGTGTGTCAGAATATGTAACATTGCCGGTACCTAACTCGGATGTATGATTGGCGGCGAACTCAACAACAACAAGTAACTTTGTCTTATTATGATCCTCTGGAGCGTTAACTTTGAAAGTCCATTCTGTCTTGTTCGTGCTTGCTACGGCTGTTGCAGTGCTAACATTTTGTGATGTTTTGACGCTAGTGACAGAGGCGCTGGAAG